GAGAAAGAACACACATAACATGCTATCAAAAGCAATAGTCTTCAGACTCATAAAGACATTCTTTGATTAGAATCTCTGCTTCCTAATCTGTACTCTTCAAATGCTTAGGGGCAATAGGCTTTATTTTTTACTTTAGGACTAAGTCCTGGCACCAAAAGCAGGTTATGGCCCTCAGGCCCACTAGGCTTAACAAATTAAGTACTTCTCACAAGAAAGCATGCTAAGTTTCACCTGAGAAACCCTCCCCACTATAATCCTTATTGTATCTGATCTGAGAAAAAGAAAAGTACTGAGCTGGGTGTTATCTGGCTAAAGAAAAAAAATCACCATGTTCTATAGGAGCTCTGTCCTCAATAGGACATATTACTGCAAAGATTAGCATTTTCAGTTCTGCCAGATGCTGTTCATTGCAAAGAGAGAAACAATCTAAGCTCTCAGGTAAGGACTTCCAGCCAGCACAGAAATCAAACAGCTCTACTCAGCAGTTTAGGAGCTGCTTGATTAGAATCAAAGGCAGGCCAGGTTTCGCTGGATAATATTTCAGGGCAGATAAAGTGCTTCATTACACTAGGAAAGACGGAGAAATTCTATCTGCCTGTTTGCCTTCTTCAAGACTATCTAAGCCAGGGATCCTCAAACATTTTAAACAGAGGGCCAGCTCACAGTCCCTCAAACTGCTGGAGGACCGGATTATAATTTGAAAAAAACATGAATGAATCCCTATGCACATTGCACATATCTTATTTGTAGTGCAAAAAACACTTAAAAATAATACAATAATTAAAATTAACAACAATTTTAACAAATATAAACTTATTAGTATTTCAGTGGAAAGTGCGGGCCTGCTTTTGCCCTGATGAGATAGCATTGTTGTTGTGGTTGTTGTATGTTTTCAAGCCATTTCAGACAGGTTGACCCTGAGCGAGGGCCGGGTAAATGACATTGGAGGGCTGTATCTGGCCCCCGGGCCTTATTTTGAGGACCTCTGGTCTAAGCCCTTGTGCTTCCATTCATTTAAATGAGTCTTGTGCTGGAGACTTACCACTCTCTACACCAGGGGTCCTCAAACTAAGGCCCGGGGGCCGAATACGGCCCTCCAAGGTTATTTACTCGGCCCTCACTCAGGGTCAACCTCAGAAAGCACACAACAACAACAACAGCAATCCTATCTCATCAGCCAAAAGCAGGCCCACACTTCCCATTCAAATACTAATAAGCTTATATTTATTAAAATTGTTCTTCATTTTAATTGTTGTATTGCTTTAAAATGTTTTTTCTCTCTACAAATAAGATATGTGCAGTGTGCATAGGAATTCAATTAATGTTTTTTTCAAATTATTTATTTATATTTATTTATTTACAGCTTTTATATTCCGCCCTTCTCACCCCACAAGGGACTCAGGGCGGATTACAGTGTAAACATATATGGCAAACATTCAAATGCCAATTTTGACGTACAACATATACAAGACATACACAGAGGCTATTTAACTTTTTCTGGCCGCCAGGGGAGCTGTCGCTTTCATCATCCATCTGCGACACTGATGAAGTACCTTCTGCATTCCTCACATGCTTCCCCGCTGGAGTTCTTCTTTATGGCCTCATAAACTAGTTAATTTTAGCCTCCCCACACTTTTTAGGTGGTACCTTATTTTCCTACTTGACAGATGCAACTGTCTTTCGGGTTGCAAAGGTCGACAACGGGCTACACAATGGTTGGAAACCCACTCCAACCCAGGCTGGCTTCCAACTCATGACCTTTTGGTCAGAGTGATCTTAATGATCTTAATGCAGCTGACACTCAGCCACAATCCCGGCCCTCCAATAGTGTGAGGGACCGTGACCTGGCCCTCTGTTTAAAACATCTGAGGACCCCTCTGTATACCCTCCCCACCCAAAAATCAGTATGCAATCTGAAATACATTTTGATATTGTGTCTTAGAATATTTTGGCCCAACTCAGTCAAGGAACAAAACAAAAAGGATCTCCAGTACAAGGATATGATTCAAAGCTTCAGTCTGGACACTCTTAAGCTGAAAGAGTTCAAAAGCAAGTGCAATGAATCATACAAAGTGAATGTCATGAAGGACAGTATTAATAACGCCTATTGATTTTTCAAACAAAATGTGAAAACATTAAGTGAAAATTGCACAGATTTTCTAGCTTAATATAATCTCCTTGCATGTCGCAAGAGCAAAGCTGGGAACAGCTCAGTGCAATATGGAGTGGCCATAAAAGCAGCTCAAAAAATAATTACCATTTATGGAGCAACCCAGCAAAAGCTAAGCATTTCCCAGTTTCATGAATGTATGTTGAGACAACAGTAAATCTCTCCTACTGAAATCCTATTTAGTTAGAATCTCACCCTTAAATAGTAGACCTATGCATAGCTCTGAAGAGTTCATATAGACTAAATTCAGATCAATACTACAGAACAGGTATAAAATTGTGCAGGCAATTTCAGTAATGACCACAAAAATCTGATTTGTGACGGCAAAGTCCTACTGTAGAAGACTACGCTGAGTTCTATTCTTATCATCATAGCTATGTTCTAAATGCAAATTGCCATTGTTGATGCAGGGGTCCCAAAGAATTCAGCTAGATTCTTTGTCAACTCCAATTTGGTATGCACATTCCAGTTTTAGAAAAATAATAAATTTCCTTCTGATAAGCAGCTAGGATTTTGTCATCTTCTACATATCAGTATGCGAGTGCCTGATTAGATGATAGCTACTTGTTCTTTCATTAATCATGCTGAGCTAACAAAACTCTGGGATTCCTGCATTGAGGAGATTACGCTATATACACATGTATAAGTCTAGACATGTGAGTATAAAAACTGGGTCAATTTATCCATGTGTTAATATAAGCATTGTACCTAAACGTTATTTAAAAAAAGGATCTATCTTCATCTCTATATAGACTGGCAAGTGACAAATCCATCCTGAGACAACCTACAAACGCACTGACCCACTCTAATCTCTCCACTTCTGGCTTTTTAAATGTGTGGGTGGAGAAATGGTGGTGACAGTGAGGGGCTGCTGGCTCCATCAGGCAACGCTGGCACTTTCCTATCTCCATGAAATAACCTTTGACTTACCCATAGGTCATATCAAAATCTATAATTTGGGCTCCCAAACCTTCCCTTGACTTACTGAGGTTAACTAATAATAATAATAATAATAATAATAATAATAATAATAATAATAATAATGATCTTTATTTATACCCCGCCACCATCTCTCCAATGGGGACTCGGAGCGGCTTACATGGGGCCAAGCCCAGACAACATATTACAGCAAAAATAAAACCAAAACATAAACAACAAGCAACAGCATCAAAATTACATTAAAAAAAGAAACATTAAAGAAACATATGAATACAATAACAAAGTAACATTACAATAAACACAATCGCAGTGACAGTAGGCAGGCCACATGTACAGGATAAAATGTTTTTTAAAACTCGAATGAGATAAGAATAGGAGCAAGTAATTTGCAGGGAGCTCATAAAGGAACACAGGGTTGTGAAACTAAACTTCCCATTAGGGGGGCGTGTACTCCAGTGACAGAAACGTTGAGGGGAGCAGTTGTGTCATGTTGCGCACCTACTCGCCAAAGGTGCAGCAGAACAGCCAGGTTTTAAGGTTCTTTTTAAAAGTTTCTAGTGTGGGGGCTTTCCTAATCTCTCCAGGTAATGAGTTCCAGAGTCGGGGAGCCACAGAGGAGAAGGCTCTCTCCCTTGTGCCCACAAGACGAGCTCGTGAGACTGGCAGGGGCAAAAGGAGGGACTCCCCCAAAGATCGAAGGGCCTGGGTTGGTTCATGGAGAGAGATACGGTCACGAAGGTAGGCGGGGAGCCACAAAGTCGGGGAGCCACAGAGGAGAAGGCTCTCTCCCTTGTGCCTACAAGACGAGCTTGTGAGACTGGCAGGGGCGAAAGGAGGGACTCCCCCGAAGATCGAAGGGCCTGGGTTGGTTCATGGAGAGAGATACGGTCACGAAGGTAGGCGGGTCCCAAACCATTTAGGGCTTTGTAGGTGATAACCTGCACCTTGAATTGGGCCCGGGGAAAACATACCTTATTTTCTAGAGAGACTGCTTTTCTCCATTCCTCCCTTCTATAATGTAGCCAGAGAAAACCAATCTGTATAAATTCGGGTTTTTTTCTGTGTCAGGAACAATTAGGGAAACTGCAAGTTGGTTCTGCTGTGAGAGACTTTACCGTTTGCAAGGACGTTGTCCAGGGGATGCCTGGATTTCTTACCATCCTGTGGTAGGCTTCTCTCATGTCCCCACATGAGAAGCTGAGGCTGACAGACGGGAGCTCACCCCACTCCCAGAATTCGAACTGCCAATCTTTCAGTCAGCAGTCCTGTCAGCACAAGGGTTTAACCCATGGCGCCACTGGGGGCTCCAGTGTTAAATGGGGATACAAATCCAGTGGGAAATAGGGATACAAATTTGGCAGCAGGAGGATAGACAAGGCCCTGATGGGAAAGGTCTACAGTTAAGGTGCCCTTGAGTTACAAGCTGCCCAGAAATTACAACAGAACAATTCAAACAGAGTAGAAAATTCATGCTGTGTGCATTTAGGAGTGAGGAAACCTGGATGCGCCACATAACTATGTTACAGCAATGAAGATTTTCCCCTCAATGGAAACAGGCCAAGAAGCAATGGGAGGTGACTTGTGCAAAAGCAGATTTAAGGTATGTCTTTCCATTATTTAGCCCGATAATTAAACAAATTGCTTTGAAAAACACAGATTACCATGCATGAGACTTCTCCAAAAGAATACTACTTGAATCTATTTTTAGGGAAGCAATGTCCCTTAGAAGTTGCTATAGAATTGCCAGTACTCCTAAATTAGGGGACAGCTGTTAACTGGATTGCTTTGTTTCCAAAACAACAGGGAACACTTGTATTTTCAAAGCCTGCTTCATACCAGCAGGGAAAAAAGGCTTATTCTCCCTGTTCCACTTGCCCTACACGACACTTACCTGAGACCGTTACCACAATATACTGCTGTGGAGCTGGCGTTGGGGTTTGCTGTCCCGTGGGCGGAGCCTGTGTCTGGGGAGGCGGGATTTCTGGGACATACTGTTTCGGTGTGGGCTGTTGCTGTTGCGCCCCTTGCAATTCTGCCACATACTGTTGCTGAGCTGCTGCCGCCGCTGCCACTACCACAGGTGCTGCCGTGGCTGCCGTTGCTGCTGGCTGTTGCTGAGACTGTTGCTGCTGTTGTGACTGTTGTTGGGCTGCCTGTAATTCCGTAACGTACGCCTGTGTTGCCATGCCAACAGTGGGGAAAATGATAATAAATAAGGCTTTTTTTGCTTCCTTTCGTTGGAGGAAAAAAAAAGAAAAACAAATAGAACAAAAAAGAAAGAAAGAAAAACAATTAATCAATTATAAGGCATTAAATAGACAGAAAGCATTCCCTACAGTTCTATTCATTGAGCACTAACTTAATAGCATACTATTCTTTACACTTAATTGCAATCAGTTAAAGAAAAGAAAAGCAGCAGGTACTCTGATTACTCCATGAAAAAGATCAGCCAGGAAATCTGACAACCCACAACATTTTGTATTTATCCAGACATAACCTGTATGACTGCATGAGTCACATTTCCAGAGTCCTTTCCATTGTAACACACGTGCTTTTGAAATTTATTTTTTTCTTATGGTGCTCTACAGATCTAACTCACAAAGGCTACAAGAGAGGTAATACCAGCATATTCTGTATAGCACAAGTGATGTGAGTTGGAAAAACCCAGTGCCACATTCATGTTTGTTTGGCAGGGATCTGTTATCGCATGCTGTCAAGTAAATTCCAAATTATGGTGCCCCTAAAGCAAACCTATAATGGGGTTTTCTTGGTAAGATGTACTTAGAGGAGTTTTGCTACTGCTTTCATCTTAAACTGAGAGATTATGACCTGCCAAGTTCACCCAGTGGGTTTCCATGGCTGAAACTATAGTCCAGCCCTGTCAGTCTGGAGGACCGTGAATCAGCCCCTTGCTTGAAAAGTTTGAGGACACCTGTTCTATAGTTTGAGGTCAACATTCAAACTGCTATATCACATTGTCTCCCATGTTTCTAGCATTGTGCTGAGAAAAACAAGTGGTAGAACAAGAATTCTCAAGGTGGTGATCCCTTACTTACTTTGTGAGCATCAACTAACTTTGCACTTCTGCAAAAAGTATCCCAGGCTTATAAAATGGTTACAAAATATAAACATACACGATCTATATAAATAAAAATGTAATGTTCGTTTGTGGGATTAACAGAACTCAAAAACCAGTGGGCCAATGGACACCAAATTTGGGCAGCATACACCTAACAACCCAGTGTATGTCCTTCACTCAAAAGTTTTTGATTTTGTCATTTGGGAGTTGTAGTTGCTGGGATTTATAGTTCACCTACAATCAAAGAGCATTCTGAACTCCACCAATCAGGGAATTGAACCAAACTTGGCACACAGAACTCCCATGACCAACAGAAAACATTAGAAGGGTTTGGTGGGCATTGACCTTGAGTTTGGGAGTTGTAGTTCACCTACATCCAGAGAGCACTGTGGACTCAAACAATGATGGATCTGGACCAAACTTGGCACAAGTATTCCATATGCCCAAATATGAACACAGATGGAGTTTGGGGGAAATAGACCTTGACATTTGGATTATAGTTCACCTACAATCAAAGAGCATTCTGAATCCCACAAACGACAGAATTAGGCCAAATTTCCCACACAGAACCCCCATGACCAACAGATAATACTTAAGGCCATCCAGTCCAACTCCCTTCATCAGGACAAGAAAATGTAACCAGAGCCCTCCTGACAAAGAGCCATCCAGCCATAGATTAGATAGATAGAAATGATTCACACAGAGAGAGAGATATAGTATAGATTTGAAAGGGACCGCTAGAGAAGGACAAATATATAGTTTCATAAACGCCTAAAGAAGGACAATGATATGTTGCATGTTCCAGAGTAGGCAAACCAGACACTCTCCACATCAACACTGACAAAGAAACAGCAAGAAATACTGTTTACCCACAAGCATAAAGAAATTACATATATTAGAAACCAACACTTTCTCATTGCTTTATTTTCCAGATCATCAGACTGGGCCAAAGCAATGCGTGGCAGGGGACGGCTAGTTATTACAATAAATTACATGGTTGCTTTCTAATGTGTCAGAAAGCCCAGGTATGCCCCCAGCCTCAGTCCAGGAAAGGCAACTAAACCCATAGTAACTGGGGATGGTGTACAATTATCTGTAATTTCAAGTCTGAGAATGCAAAAAGCCATTTTGGCACACAATCAGAAAAGAGTTTGATAATTTCTTTATAATGCTGGCTAAACTATGAAGTACTACAACTTGCAAAGCAGCTGAAGGACTCTGTTCCCTTTAGGCCAAAATTCATTTGACTGGAATGTTACAAACTGTGCAGAGCTCAAAACCAAGACAGCCAGAATAAGTATCCGATTCCAGCAGAAAGCTCAATGACTATTCAAAGCTACTCAGCAGCAGTACCACAAAGATACAGACAGAAGACAAATTGCTACACTAAGGTAATGAGGAGAGGAGAATCCCTTTTTCGGGAACAACTAAATTAAACCGATCAGACACTGCTGTAGTTTATTCCCTGGATCAGATGGGAGAATAATATTAAAATACATGATCACTTTCTCACAAAGGAACAGAATTATCCTTTTACTCTTCTTCTGGGATGATCTGCCAAAATTCAACAATCCAGAGAGTAAAATATCCCTAGGGTCCTTCCCTTACAGATAAATTACTGTATCTGCTATTTCATTTACTATCATAGTTGAGGCAGAAGAACATGCAAAGCATTCTCATTGGAATGTTTAAGTATGAAAATTATATATAAAAATTATGTTGCACATCACGGGTTTTTAGACTCTTTTGGGAAACTCAGCAGTGCTTAGTACTGTAAACCCCCATTGAAAAGATCAGTAATAGTAAACCAAGTTTTCTGACAGTTTGTCCATTACAGGATAATTAGAAATGTTTTCAACCAAACTTGTGGCTCACACTAACAATAGCATGACCCACAGACGTTTGGCCAGTGCCAGGACCACCGAAAACATTAGTTTTATTTCTGTGGCTAGCAAGTAAGACAACTTGTAAATGATAGGAAGGGCACACTCCTTTTGTCCCATAGATGTCCTCTCTGACATCTGTCAGGCACAATAACAGATCAGATGACCCTTGCATAAAGCTATTCTTACTCTCTAACAACGGATGGATCAATAACAGCCCATACAGACTTCGGATGACAGAGAAAGGTGGGGGTGTGGAGCAACTTCCTAGTAGACAATAAATGTAAACAAGACTTTTTTTTCTGCCTTCTATAGAATGTGATTAACATGTAGCTGTGACTGAGGGCCATTCCACACAGCCATATAACCCAGAATATCAAGGCAAGAAATCCCACAATATATGCTTTGAACTGGAATATATGGCAATGTGGACTCAGATTACCCAGTTCAAAGCAGATATTGTGCGATTTCCTGCCTTGATATTGTGGATTATATGGCTGTGTGGAAAGGCCCTGAGACTGTCTATTGCTCTCCAAAAATGTTGAGTAGAGTTTTTCAGGACAATCAAATGTTCTACTTCTATTTAAATGAACATGAGGAGGCATTCCATTCAGACCCTGCTGTTCCACATAGGAAGGTGTGGGCTGCACATTTGGAAATGTAGACTAAAGCCAGCATGCACAGATCTACATGCACTTAAGCTACTCCATTCATACTGATTGCCTGAATAGAGCATCAGCATTTTCATCTATAAGCATTAAAATATGACTCCTTAGAAAGAGTCAAAAATTTTGACTTTGTATACAATTTTAAATATATTTTTAAAATATACAATTGCACAGCTAAGTGTTAGCTAATGTGAACCAAGTACACTAACAACAAGAGCACCCAGAGTGCCAGCTGTCTATCAAGGACCCCCTAGTGGCACAGTGGGTTAAACCCTTGTGCCGACAGGACTGAAGACTGACAGGTCGCAGGTTTGAATCCGGGGAGAATGCGGATGAGCTCCCTCTGTCAGCTCCAGCTTCCCATGCGGGGACATGAGAGAAGCCTCCCAAAAAGGATGGTAAAACATCAAAAACATCAGGGCGTCCCCTGGCCAACGTCCTTGCAGACAGCCAATTTTCTCACACCAGTCCTTTTCTACAAGATCTTTTTAGACTCCCTATTATCTTTGGACTCTTCCACACTGTTCCTATATCCCAGGATCTGATTCTAGATTATCTGTATATCCCAGGTTTTCTGGCAGTGGGGACTCAAATATTCCAGTTTAAAAACAGGTTATCTGAGATAAGATCCTGGAATAAAGGACAGTGTGGAAGAGCCCTTAATCCTCTGTTCAACTGGACTTTTTTAGTAGCACCCACACAAAGTGGGATGGTGTAAGAGGGAGAGAGAAGCTGGAAACATTTCTGAAGTAAACAATTCAATAAACAAAACTTCAGATGGAGAAAAAGAAGAATTATATTCTAACCAACTCTTCTACAGAATGGGAGAAAGGTTGACTTAGCCACTTTGAGTGTGTAGAGAAAAAGCGGGGTATAAATAAACATTATCATCATCACTATCATCAACAACGGGTCAACATGAGTACCGTGCCTTCCTAAACTGAAAGCCTAACGCCATTGTTCATCCTTTTTGGGCTCCTCTCAATACACTTTTTCTACTCCTACCTCAGCCAGGGTTTTATCATTTTAACTTGTCCATTTGGCCTGCCCATTGTGTTTGATTTTATATTATGTTATTTTGCCTTGTTTATTTTATTTTTCTACTGTATGTATTTTATTGTGATGTAATTTTTGTTGTATTTTGCTACTGTATTTTATTGTGATGTAATTTTTGTTGTATTTGTATTCTTGCATTTGCATTTTATTTTATTTTGCTATATTGTATCTTCGGGCTTGGCCTCATGTTAGCTGCTCCAAGTCTCCTTTGGAGAGATGGTGGCGGGGTATAAATAACGTTTATTGTTATTTATTATTGTTATTTTAAAAATTGAAGCATTTCTTTCTCTGAGTAGAGTGCAGATATTCATGTGATCTGAGGCAAGGCTGCCATCCTCAGTTTGATCAGTCAGCCAGCAATCCTACTATTCCTTCTGGGAGCTAATGGATTTTAACATGTGTTGATTACAGACACCTGAAGTTTGTCTTATATGGAGTTACGCCACTTACAGAGTCAGATCACTTATTTCCTGAAGCCCAGTATAACCTACTAGGTGACAGCAGGAATAAAAAAGGCTTTTATACCGTTATGCTATAAATGCAGT